CAGCTGCAGCGGCGACGGCGGGGGCGGGCGCGCGCACGGAACAGCCGGCGTCGACGCAGCCGTACACGGTGCCGTCGCCGGGTGTGCAGTATGTGCATCTGCCCGCAGCGTCGCCGTTTGCGGGCGGGCATAGGGCTGCCGGGATGCGGCCGAGGAGCCAGCAGAGCGGTCAACGTGTGGTTTAGGGCCGCGCTTGGCAGTTGTCGTGTGCAATTGATGATTGCAGCCGTGTTGCAGTGTGGCGCGCGATGGGGTGGTGGAGCTGCATTCGTACAAGAGGCTCGACTGGACTGATGGGCGTGGGTAGCGTGTTGGATGGAAACGTGCGGATTGTATGCTCGCTGTGTCGTGCCAAGTTGAGACTGAGCGGGTAGTGGGGATTCATACGCGTCATGAGGGGTAGAAGTGTGTGTCGACTAACGCACAGGCGTGCATGTGATAAGGGGCGCACACTCGCACCTCGTACGGTATTGGTGTGGCATTGTTGGGAAGCAGGGGCGCAAACTCACTCGTGCAGGATCGGTGTCGCAGCGGCATCTTGGCTCCTTGTGTCCATTCCCACTTTGAACCATCCAATGGCCCCCTGAATCTCACCTGGGCCCCTTTCAATTCCGCCTTGCAGACCAAGTTTGACAAATCGACGAGCTCAAACCTCGCCCCAATCGTGGGATGCACTCTGTATGATTTGGGCATTGAGCTTTGCATTCTGCACCGGGGTGGGAAAACTAGCGCCTCCTCTGGCGGAGCGGCTTGATCTGGCGTGCGCCCGGTGCCGCGGGACTCGCAGCGGGCGGGGCGCCCATACTGAACAGCCCCGGCTGGGCTGTCTGTGGCATCTGAGGTAGCGCCGCCATGCCCTGTGCGGGGCTTGCGAACGTAAACCCGCCGCCTCCACTGGGTGTGGACGGCGTGCCGAATCCACCTGCCGTGCCGAATCCCTGCCCTGTCGCCGGAGTGGGGGTGGGGGTGGAAGATCCGAATCCAAACTGTCCCGCAGGTGCAGCAGCAGGTGCAGCAGGGGCGGGTGATCCAAACTGGAACGGTGCCGATCCTCCCGTCGGCGCTGCTGGCGCGCCGAATTGGAACGGTGATCCTCCGGGTGTCGTGGGCGCAGCAGCCGGTGCGAGGAACGGCGATGCAGGTGCAGATCCCACCGCCGGCGTCGTCGACCCGCCACCGAACGTGAAGCCCCCCGGTGCGGGAGAAGGGGCAGGCGATCCAAATCGGAACGTCCCCGCACTACCCCCCGCAGCAGCCGCAGGAGCACCGAATGTAAAGCCCGTCGTCGCAGCCGAACTCGTCGCTGGCGCAGCGGAAGCAGGCGTCGACGTCCCACCTCCCACACTGCCCGCAGCAGGCGCACCGAACGTAAAGCTCGTCGAGGCAGCGCTGGTTGCGGGTGCGGTAGAGGCAGGCGCAGGGGATCCAAACGTAAAGCCTCCTGCAGGCTTGGCCGGCGTCGAAGCGGGAGTGGCCGATCCAAATGCAAACGTCGGCGCGCCAGAAGTCTTTTGCGGCGAATCATCCATCATCTCCCCCGCACCCTGCGTCGTCACTGGTGCCGCAGCTGCAGCCGCAGCAGGCGCAGGTGTGGCGGATTTAGGCGCCCCAAAACTGAATCCTCCCGCACCAAATCCACCGGCAGCAGGCGCAGACGCACTGCCCGCACCGGATGCAGCTCCAAACGAAAAGCCTCCCGCTGGCTTCGCACCATCCCCGCTCGCAGCGCCGCCGAACGAGAACGTCGGCGTGCTCGTTCCAGACCCAGGCGCCGAGTTGCTCGCCGATGCAGGTGCCGACTCGGCACCACCCGCAGGCTTTCCGAACGAAAACGACGTCGCTGCCGGCGCCGGCTTGGCTGTCTCGCCCGCACTGTCGCCCTTGCCACCAAAGAAGTTCGGCACACTGCTCGGTGGCGCCTCGTCCTTCTTTGCCGCGGGTGCAGCCGCGGGGGCAGGCGAGCCAAAGCTAAACCCGCTCGACGCAGGCGCGGCAGACGCAGCAGGCTCGGGCTTGGACGCAGTGGGCGCTCCAAACGCAAAGCTCGGCATGCTCTTTTTGGCCGCTGGCTCGTCGTCGTCTGCAGCGCGCTTTGCGCCCGTCGATGCCGAGGTCGAAGGCGTGCCAAAGCTGAATCCGCCCGAACTGGTACTCGTCGAGCCAAAGAACGACGGCTTGCTCGCAGGCGCAACAGACTCTGCCTTCTCCCCCACAGGCTGTGCCGGCTGTGCCGGCTGTGTAGGCTTGGCGCCAAACCCGCCGAACGGCGACGGCGTCTCGGCCGGCTTAGGCTCCGACGCTGGCTTCGCACCAAAGCTAAACGGCGCCGGCTTGGCTGCGTCATCCTTGGCCGCTGCCGCTGGCGCGCTGAAGGAAAACCCGCCCGCGGCTGGCGCCGGCTTGGCTGCGGGCGCCCCATCCGCCTTGGGCTCGAACTTCTTCATGGTGCTGCCGAAGAAGTTGGGCACAGGACCGTCCTTCTTGCCGTCGGTGAGCGATGCCGAGGAAGGCTCGGCGGGCTTGCTGAAAAAGTCGGATGCGGGCGGGGCGGCGGACGGCTTCTTTTGCGTGCTGTCGTCCTTGCCAGCACTGGCGACCGCGCCAAAGCTGAACTTGGGCGGCTCGGCCGGTGTCTGCTTGGCGGAGGGCGGGAAGGAAAACGAGAGGGCCGAGGTGGTCGGCTTGGGTGCATCTTTGTTCTCGCTGGATGCCGAGTCGAAGCCTCCGAGTCGACCCAGCAGCGAACCGCCTGCCGCAGCTGCAGGAGCAGGAGCAGGCGCAGGTGCAGGTGTGGTCTTAGGAGCCTCGCTGGAGCCGGCACCGGCAGCAGGCTTGGCAGCCTCACCCGAGTCCAGAGGCTTGCCGCCAAAGGAAAAGCCGGACGGAAACATGTTGGTGGGCAGCTTGATCTTGGCGAGCTCGGTGGCGTCTGGCAGGCCGTCATCCTCATCATCCTCGTCCCAGGCGCTGAATTTGCCGGAACTCTGATGCGTCCGCGACGTCTTGGCGGCGCCCTGGCGCAGCGAGCTCTTTTCGCGCGGCGCCGAAGCGTCATTGGTGGTCCTTACGGCAAAGTTGTCCTTCTTGACCGCGGTGGCGGGCGCCTTGTTGGCAGCCGAGAGCGCAATGCGGTGCGAGGCCGGCTTGGGCGTCTCGACGGGCGCAGCGGGCTGGGCAGCACGCAGCGGCGTGGCTTTGAGTGCCGACTTGAGCTGCGTCGTGCGTGCAGCTCCTTTGTCGTCGGCCTTGATGGGCGTCTGAACCGCCGCGTCAGCCATGGGGGTCTGCTTCTGAAGACGTCGCGATCGACGAATCGGCTCCGGTGGGGGCGACACCGGCTGCTCAGGCTCGTCTTCTGCGTGCTCCGAATGCATCTCCTCGTTGTCGGACACTACAGAGCCGTCGGTGTCGGTGGGGTCCGTCTCCATCTGGGCCTCGTCGGCGGCTGCATTGGTGCGCGTCTTTTTGAGCCTGGCGCGCATACCGCCCTGATCGTCGGCGTTGGACTGGATCGCCTTGGCCTTTCGCAGATATCGGGTGTAGGGGGCCACGCCAACGGTGGGCTTGGCCTCGTGCGACTTTGCACTTCTGGCCGCCGAGGCAGGTGCATCCGAGATGGGCGCCGGCACGTTGATCGAGGTGGGCGGACCTCTGGAGAGGCCGACGCCGAGGCCTCGTGCGGTGGCGGTGGGCTTGCGCAGCGTCTCGAGCACATTGAGCAGGCGCTCGGCCTCGTTCTTGGGCGAGGGCGGCTTGGGCTCTCTCGCCTTGAGCTCCTCGTGGCTGATGAATCCCAGCTCGGGATGCCACACCATCCTTCGCTTGGATGGCGTCCCCATTGCAGCCGAGTCGCCATCGACGCTCATGTCGATGTCGCGCTTGCCGAGCCGACTCGGGGTGAGCGACTCGGACTCGTCCATGACGCTGCCGCCTGCGACAGACGAGGTGGCCATGGGATCGTCGGCAGGCAGACCCAAGCTGCGGCGCACGGTG